TTCTCACTCAAGAGCTAGAAGTGGAGTCATGTGGAAGGCATCCTCAGGGACATGCTGGTGGTTGATGCCAATTGTTGCAGGACACCTGACCTCTCAATCCTGCTCCTGCTGCCTTCAGTTCACTGGAAGCGAGTTCCTAAGATAAGTCCATATTCAAAGGAAAGGGACTTACATTTCACCACATATGTCATATCTTTTCTTTCTTTCTTTCTTTCTTTCTTTCTTTCTTTTATCCTGCCATCTTGGACCTTCTCTCTTTATCTTATTTAGTGTGTGTCTCCCTCACTAGGATATCAACTCTTTGGAGGCATGGATCTTGTCTTGTTTAGATCACTGCTGTGTTCTTGGTGCCGAGAACAGGGCCTGGCATGTAGTAGATGCTCAGTAAATGTTTGTCGGATGAACTAATACAGGAGCACCACCTCTCACAGTGGTGTTGTGGAGGGAACCAGTAGACTACACCTGTGTCCTCTTTCCCCCTTCCAGGCCTGGAATCCACACTGAAAGACACAGAGTCAGACACAGGGAGACAGCCATTCATTCAACAGATGTCTCTTGCATTTGAATTGTGTGCCTGGCCACCATTACAAGCGCTGGTGGTAGTCTCATGAGGCTTACATTTCTATAGCAGAGGAGACAAAAATGATGGATATTACTGGAGGGAAGTGCTACAGTGAATGAAGAAACAATAAAACTTGGTGAAGGGTGATAATGGGGTGCTGTTTACGTAGCATAGGCTCTATAAGGAAATGGCTTGTGCAGTGAGGGAGGGAGTCAGGTGAAGGTCTGATGGAAGGGAAGACTGGGATGAGGGAACAGCAGTGCGTAGGCCCAAAGATGGAGCACTTGTATCTTTATATTTGCCTGCCCACTGGAAGAATAGTTCTGCTTTGCCCTCTGCCTTCTGGGGCCCCATACGAGAGGGGACCAACACACCTAAGAGGTGCAAATAAGGTTCACTGTTTAAGTTCAATTAAGGGGGGGTGTATCAGAACCTTATTGGGACCAGAATCTTGAGCTTTGAATCAGCAGTGAAGCTGCATGGTGGAGAAGCTGGGTGAAAATCCCAGGCCTCTGAGTCTGTTTCCCCATCTGTAAGCAGGGGCTCATCAGATACTTCTTGAGCTACTAGGTTTGAAATAAGTACCCAGAGAGGTCATGCCTAAAAGTTATTTAAAACAGAGTACTTTTTTAGTTTTTCTTTTTTCTGTATGTGTATGTGTGAAAACTTTGAAACCTCCGGAAAAGAGGAAGGAATTAAAGGTTTATGAATACCTGTAAACTCTTCATCTAGGTTTAACATTTTTCCCTTTTTACTTTCTATCTTTCTATATCTATCTAGCTACCAACTATCTATGCATGCACCTAACATACACACACATGCACACACACAAGTATATTTGACTGAACCATTTGAGAGTATGTTGCAGACATTGGCTCTTATACCATTCAGGCTGGGCACACTTTAGGCCCCCTGGGACCATCATTGGAGTGATCATGTGTTGGGGGCTGGGAAAGGACATCTGCCTCACCCAGCCCCTCTGTCTTTACTTAGCTGGAGACCAGCCGCTGACTGGAGCCTACTCAGTGACCCTGGATGGACGAGGGCCCTCAAGGGTCATCTCCAAACATGACTTGGGCCACTTCATGCTGCGCTGTCTCACCACTGATGAGTATGATGGGCACAATACCTACCCTTCCCACCAGTACAACTAGGGATGTGCCCCTGTCCAGGAGGACAGCATCCTGGGAAATGGAGAACAAAGGAAGAGAGCAATAAATCTTGAGCCAAGAGCTTCAGATTATTCTAGACCTAACTCTGGCTTTGTCTAGGTATCTCATTGTCTCTGTCTGCCCTCTAAGATTTTCTGGGTATTCCTTCATTCATTTTCTCAGTAACAGTTTATTGAGTCATTGTTCCACACCCAGCCATATGCTAGGGACCCAGTGGTAAACATGATAGCCATGAGCCTTGCCTTCACAGATGTCACAGTCCAGTGGGGAAGACAGCCCTGCCCCTGATGGAGGAAGCATAGAGGGCTGTGGGAACTGAGAGAGGGTACCTGACCCAGCACAGGGAGCAAACAAGACTGTTGAAGAGGGGATTCCCCACCTGAAACCTGGTTTGATAAAAATGAGCCAGGAGAAGGTCCTAAGGCATGATGACATTCCAGGCAGAAAGACCCACATGAGCAAAGGCCAGAAGGCTGGAGAGCACTTCACTCCTTTTGAAGAACTAAATTCTGTCCCCTACAGTTTAATAATACTTTTCTCAGAGGTGAGGGACGGTCAACCCAAGAGACCATTCCATGGATGCTAAATTGTGCAGAGTCACCGTAAAAAGTTTAATCTTTTTTTAATTATTTCTTTTTTTTTTTTAAGATTTTTATTGGGGAATTGGGGGATGGGAACAGC